GAACTGGGGGGGCACCTTTTCGTCGAGATTTTGCTCTCGGGTCAGGTTTGTGACCGCCGCGTTGATGCGACGGCCGAGATCTTGAAGAACCATGGTGATTTGATGCGACTTTGATGTCGCGGGGTATCTTGGTGATGGAGTGTGGCACTGTGGCCACGAGAAGATGTGGAGGTGGGGTTTGTGGTTTTTCCGGTCCGGGATGCACCCGCTGCAGCCAACTTGAGCTAGAGGTGTCTTATCACGCGAATAATTACCTTTCGGGGCAGTTCTAGCCTGTGAATAGATACGGATGGCTATATAAGGTGGCCTATGGTGCTGTAGGAATTGTAATCATCAGAGACAAACAAAATGGGCCGTCATAATCTTCAGTACCCCAAAGACTCGACAAATACCATCAAACGGTACAAGGTCCACGGGGTTTATGACCTCGAGACTGTTCATAGTATCGTCAATACATGTCCGATTCTTCATATATCGTTTAATACGCCCTCTCAGCCGTTTCCGGTTGTCCTACCGATGATAGGACAGCTGGGATCGTTTGATCGGCCGAGTTCAAGTCTGCGGGATCCTCTGGAACTGTATCTTCATGGATATGTGTCGTCGAGGATCATGAACTTGGCTCAGACATCTACAGTCGATGGAGAAGAGATCCAGGAAATGCCCGTTTGTATTGCTGCCTCGCACGTTGATGGACTCGTCTTGACCCTGGCGACGTACTCGCACAATTACAACTATCGATCCGCTGTGATCTACGGATACGCGACTACTGTCAAGTCAGATGAAGAAAAGTTGTATGCGATGGAACTCATCAGCAATAGTGTTGTGGCTGATCGTTGGAACCATACACGACAGCCTCCGTTGGCGTCGGAGATGCAGAGCACGAATATCCTCAAGGTCAAGATCACGTCGGCAAGTGCCAAGATCAGTGCGGGATCAACGACGGATGATAAGAGTGATTTGGAGAATGAGAGTCTGGTGAACTCGACTTGGACGGGTGTGTTGCCGGTGTATCAGACGATCGGAGAGCCGATTCCTGGTCCGTATAACAAGATTGAAGTGTCTGAGCATATTGCAAGCTTTGCAAAGGATACGAATGACGAGAAGAAGCAGAGATCTTTGGATGCAGCGAAGGGCGAAAGGAGGGCAACTTGAGCGATGATTGTTTGTATTTGATTCAATTGATGTTTGATGCTGGATATCCCTCCGGGGGCTCCTGGCGGAGGGCCTTTTCTCGCTCCGCTTGTGCTTGATCAGAGACACTTTTGGCCATAGTTTTAATTCAATGATTAGCACTCACACTGTTTGTCCCAAATACGATGGCCGACAACATCAGATGCACAGGTTCGGCCTTTGCTTTTCTTGAATTGATCGTCGGTTGCTGACGTGAGTGATCTCGCATTCGTCGTATTCCGTGTCGACAACCATGAACCCGAGCAATACGGGCACCCAGTGTACATTTCATCAACCACTCAACTTGATCATCCATGGAATATTTAAATGACACTCCCAGCCATGGCGACTTCATATTTTCCATGCCGCAATCATGAAGCCTCTCTTGTCACGACTCTTGCTCCCAATCTACGTCGGGGCTGAAACTCCAACAGCTACCCTCGACTCAGGTCCAATATTTGGTCTCACCACAACTCTCCCAGCTGCTTCGCCCGTGAACAAGTTTCTCGGCATTCCTTATGCTGCCAGACCACAACGCTTCAGCCGTGCAACGAAGCCTGAACCATGGACGAGGCCCTTGAATGCGACTAGGTTTGGACCTTCATGCAGACAACTATTTGTCCAGAGTGGTGAGTCTGTCAAAATTGCCCGGATGAAGCTAACGATGTAGAACTCACTCCTGAGATTGATCTTCTCAAAGGACTGTTCAACACAGCATCCCGTGAGAGTGAAGACTGTCTCTTCATCAATGCTTTCGCTCCAGCAGATCCTCACCCTTCAAGGGCTGTGCTCTTGTTCATCAGCGGCGGTGGATGGCAGCAGGGGAATGGCGAAATCGATCTCAGCGGTTTTGCAGCGTATGAAAACATCGTCGTCTTTACCTTCAACTACAGAACAAATGGTGAGTCGACTCTGGCTTGTGAGCATTGCTAACGAGACAGTCTTTGGGTTCCCAAACTCTCCAGACATACCTGCTTCAGACATCAACCTCGGCATCCATGATCAGCAGCTCGCTATTGAATGGGTCCAACGGAATGCTCGTGCCTTTGGTGGTGATCCAGACAAAGTCACTATCTGGGGTGAATCTGCAGGCGCCATGTCTGTGGATTTGCATGTCAACAGACACACATCTCTGTTCCGCGGCGCAATGATGTTTTCTGGTCAAATGTCTGTTGGGTACCTCGGAAGCACTGCCAGTCATCACGATACTTCGTATTGGGATAACCTGACGACTGTATTTGGCTGTCAAGGACCAGACCAGCTGCAGTGTATGCGAGACGTACCAGCAGACGACCTCGTCAACGCCATGAGTGCAGCTGGAAGTGCGTTTCTGCCGATAACAGACAATGTCACAATTCTGAGTGACAGAGCTGAAAGGTGGAGGAGCGGAGATGTTGCGCGAGTGCCTGTGCTCATGGGTACTGTCGCTGAAGAAGGGCGAGGACTGATCAACAGAAACATCTCACTCGAGACATTATTTGGGGCATATCTCTCTGAGCCACTGGTCAACGAAACCCAACAGAAGCAAATTCTTGATGCTTATCACCCCATCAAGACCGACTTTGACACTGCTGCTGCAATCCACACAGACTTTGTCTGGCAATGTGTAAGTTCACATGCTTCCGACTTCACAGCTAACATCTCCAGCCCCAAGCCATTCTCGCCAATACTTCATCCGCTGTCAATCCAACGTGGCGATTTTACTTCAATGCCTCAGTCACTAGCCTTTTAGACGACAAATACTCATGGCTGGGCAAATTCCACGGCTCAGACGTTCTGCTGCTGTTCAGCTCACCAACCTTTGACGCAATGTCACCGCAACTCTACACATTTGCGGAGTATCTTCGAGGAGTTGTGGGGAAATTCGTCAGAAACCCGCAAGCTGGACCAGGCTGGCCCGTTGGATCGAGATATGTTGCGAACCTGGGAGATGTCGGACGGACACAAACATCAGGACCTTCAATCATCGACCAAACGGTGCTGGATCAGAGATGCAGGCTATACGAGTCGATTTATCCTCTCATCGAGGAATATGTGTTAGTTTGATCGGAATTATCACGTAGGTCCCCGAATACTACTCAATCTCGTTGCAACGTCAGTTCGCCAATCTCGTCGACGTCATTGGATCCACGGTTTTAACACGGCCACTTATCCAACTTTCACTCAGATTGCATGTGGATTGCATCTCGATCTGACTAGATTTCGAGAAGCTTACCCGATTGAGTGTAAATGGAGAACAAATGATTCTGTCGATGCGATATCTCCGGAGCTTTTATCGCGGAGCGTCATAGACATTGAACCCAAGACGTCATTAGAAGTTGAGAACAGACGGCAGAGAAGAAGAGGATGAGAGGATATAAATACTGTGAATTGTAGAGAACCTTGATAGACATCAATCATATTAATTATTCTCACCAATCATGGGCTACCCTGATACTTTTGAAGGCTTCTGCGTCGACAGCCCCAAATCATGGAACAAGTTCCAAAAACAAACCCTCACCCCCAAAACATGGGGTGATCGCGATATCGACGTCGAGATTGAAGCCTGCGGTGTCTGCGGCTCAGACGTGCACACCGTTACAGGCGGCTGGGGCGACTTTGAAGGTCCTCTCTGCGTCGGTCATGAAGTCGTCGGCAAAGCTGTCCGTGTCGGCGACAACGTCAAGGACATCAAAGTCGGAGACCGTGTTGGCGTCGGTGCCCAAGTCGCTTCTTGTTTAGAGTGCAAGCTCTGCAAGAACAAGAACGAGAACTACTGCCCTGATATGGTGGACACGTATAACTGCACTTATCCGGATGGAAGTGTTGCGCATGGCGGTTTTGCATCGCATATCCGTGCTCACGAGTACTTCACATTCAAGATCCCTGATGCCCTCAAATCTGAGCAGGTTGCGCCTCTTCTCTGCGCGGGTATCACCACTTACTCTCCCCTTGTGAGGGCAAACGTCGGTCCTGGAAAGACGGTTGCCATCGTTGGTATCGGCGGTCTCGGACACATGGGTATCCAATGGGCAAAAGCACTCGGCGCTGAAGTCTACGCCATGACACACTCTCCCTCAAAGGTGGAAGATGCAAAGAAGCTCGGCGCAAAGGAAGTTATCCTCACAACGGATGAGAACTGGGCCGACAAGTACAAGTTCACATTCGACTTTATCCTCAACTGCGCCGACATGACGCACAAGTTTGACATGAGCGCTTACATGTCCACGCTCAACGTTGGAGGCGAGTTTCACAACTGTGGTATTCCGGATGAGCCACTTCCTCAAGTGACTGCTGGTACATTTGCTGCAAATGCCGGTAAGATCACTGGAAGCCATCTTGGTAACCACCAGGAGATGGATGCTATGCTCAAGCTGGCTGCTGAGAAGAACATTGTTGCATGGGTCGAGACGATTGATATCTCGGAGAAGGGATGTGCTGAGGCTGTTGAGCGTGTGAAGGAGAACAAGGTGCATTATAGGTTTACCCTGACCGGGTTTGAGAAGGTTTTCAAGAAGGACTAAATAGTAATGTAATGACAGTCAAGTATTGCCTATTCTGAGTATTGCCATGCATATTTGTGACCCATGCGGGGAGGGTAGTGAGAAGGGTCGTTCGTTTGTGAGATGAGTGCAATCCGGTGCAGGGACTTATCACTTCAGAAGGTGTTCAACTGAACTCATTGAACAGTTCCTGAAGCTTAGTCTCGATTTACCTAACACTGTACCTAAGCGACAAAATACTGAGTTTTCTTGCCTCAGAGAGTATCAGCAACACCTAAGTCTCAGCCTCATGGTATTCACATATCCAATACACTATCAATTCACTCGAGCGCAGCGAGGAAGAGCCCTCCGGAGGGAACACCAAAGAACAGTTTGTCAGCTTTTAACATTATCTCATTGTATTAACGTGGTATCATGATCTATTTAAGCGCCAATGGCCTTAAGGATGGCCTTTCCAACAGCATGAGCAGACGCAGGGTTCTGTCCAGTAATGACCTGTCCATCGACAGCCAACTTCTCCGCCCAGTCGTCAGCCTTGACGTACTTGCCACCAACACGCTTGATCTCGTCCTCGAGGAGAACAGGCATGGCGCTGGTAAGCTTGACGGCCTCCTCTTCAGAGTTGCTGAAACCGGTAGCCTCGCGGCCCTCGAGGAGAGGCTTGCCGTCGACCTTGACGTTGACAAAGACGATGGGGCCGTGACACACTGCGGCGACGGGCTTGCCGGCCTTGTAGAACTCCTCGATAAGCTTGATGGAGGTCTCGTCGTTGACGAGGTCGAACATGGGGCCGTGGCCGCCGGGGTAGAAGATGGCGTCGAAGTCGGAAGCCTTGCCGAGGAAGTTCTTGAGGGGAGTTGTTTGTTCCCAGAGCTGCTTCTTCTCGTTGAGGAACTTTACGGACTCCTCGTCGCCCTTGAACATCTCGACGGAGGCTTGGTCGAGGGGTGCTTCGCCGCCGGCGGGAGAGGCGACGGTGATCTCGACGCCGTTGTTGACGAGGTCATAGTAAGGGTGGGCGAGTTCGGGCTGGCGGTGGTTAGTTTGGAGTTTGGTGGGTGAGTCGGTGAGTGGCTTACCAGGTACCAGCCAGTAGGATGTCCATTNNACTGGCTGGTGAGAACGACGAGAACCTTGGGAGCCATTGTGAATGAATTGGGTATCTGTGAATGTGTGTTGTGATGGAAATTGAGTGAAAGGGTATAAGTTTGTTGAGATGGGTATTGAGTGAAAGGTATGAAGCTGTGTTGATATGAGACGAGTTATGAGATGATATGCTATGATGAAACAAACTCTAATGGATGACGCACTCACCTTTATACCACATGCACACCTCTCCCTTCTCCACGCTTGGACCCTTGCAGTCGGACCAATTCTCTACCGTTTCGAGCACCTTGACAAACTCTTCCGTTCGGCTCTTGCTGCTACTGACGTCAGACTAACGGGCCTAGCCGTCCATTCTCGGCACTTAACCCCGTGTAGCGCCGGCTTTTGTGTGGGGCGCGCCGGGGTCACGTACCCGGAGCGGCCGATTCGAGCTGATGGACGCTCATGGAAGAGAGTGTGGTCCACTTGATGTGTAAGCCGGCATTCTTGAATCATGCGATTGTCACTTTGATGCAGTTGTGAAGAAATTGGATTCACTGAAACATGTGAGATCCCTCCGGGGGCTCCTAGCGGAGGGCTCTATCTCGCTGCGCTCGGGTGCAGGCTTGTTGGATTTGATGTAGAAGCAATAGCATGAGTCAATTTGGATCTAACAAAAACACCAAATGAGTGACTTCCTCCACGATGACCTACATCCAGAAACCAAATGGATTAGTTCCTCTGACCTTATTACCCTTCCCATCACCCTTGCCGCCCTTGCCAGCTAACGGGGGAGTCTTGCATCTTCCTCTGTAGTCAGGCTTGACAACGAGACACTTGTCGCAGCCGCAGAGGAACTCAAGATGGTTTCCGACCTTCTGGCTTGGCTGGTCGCATAGACAGATAAACAGGGCATTATCTATGCTGCTGGCTGGCGATTCGCCGTCGCATTTCACATTGGGCGTGCTGCAGTATGCCGAGGAGAGTTGATCCTCATTCCACGGTTTGTCTGGGTCTGTTAGTCTTGATCACTGGGGGGTTGGTGGACGTACCCATGCCCTTGAGGACTGCAGAGCAGTAAGTGTAGCCACATTCGCAGATTGGTCCCTCGGGAGGAGGAGGTTCGGCGGTTGAACTCGGAGGTGGAGGGGGACTTGGATCCGGAGGAGGTGCTGGGGCCGGAGTAGCTGGGGGAGGGACAGGAGCTGGTCCGGATGGAGGTGGTGCAGGCTGAGATGGAGGCGGCGGCGGAGGTGGAGGAGAAGGTTGAGACGGTTCGGCGGGAGGATCAGCCGGGGGATCAGCCGGAGGAGGGACGGGAGGAGGAGCTGGCGGCTCAGAGGTTGAAGGGGCAGTTGGAGCAGGGTCAGGGGGAGCTGGTGCTGGATCAGGAGGAGCCTGAGGCTTTGCAAAGGCCAGGACGGCCAGAGTAAGGATAGTAAGTTGAAACTTCATATTAACGAGTGTTGATGGTGATGATGTGAACTGCTTCTCGTCTCTTCTTATATAGTTTACGGTTACTGTTGTTGCAATCATCTTGTCCTACTCATCATCCTTCAACTGTCTCTTCGTCAATTCTTTCATTATCCCTTCATTTGTGTCTTCGTATGTTTCTTCGCACCCAGTCTCTTGGTATCCTGTCTCTCGGTCTCAATATCGTTGCTGTACATGTCAAGCGTTGCTTAAGCCGGCACTCGCCCGTTACTCATGTAGCCATGTCTGTCGATGCATGGTACCCCGTAGTAAGGTTATTTTACGGTTATCCAGAGCAACAACTCACCTCTCAGGCCTCTGTCATATAATCGGGTCTGAGATTGAGATCACGATCAACACCCACATTTACATCATGAAGTTTCCACTGCTACAGTGTTATACCCCGCACTGTACTGCCCCACCATCGTTGGAGGAAAACAGCCTGCCCCTCCATGGTACGAGTCGTCATCCTACACTCGTCAATCAACAATCATGGCCGAATCCCAGAGAAAAGCCGTCGTAAACGTCGGCACGCGAAAGTCCCCCCTCGCGCTCGCCCAGACCCAGATCGTTGTCGACGCGCTCAAGAAGAACTTTCCCGCTCATGAATTCAACATCCACAGCATGACAACTACCGGCGACCGCGATCAAAACACTGCGCTCTACAATTTCGGCGGAAAGGGTCTATGGACTTCTCAGCTCGAGGAGAAGCTCGTCAACAAGGAGCTCGACATTGTGGTTCATTCGCTCAAAGACATGCCGACGGTTCTCCCCGAGGGTTGCGTTCTCGGATGTGTCACGTCCCGCGAGGACCCGAGAGATACACTCGTGATCAAGAAGGAATTGCAGGACAAGCACGGCTGGAAGACCCTCGCCGATCTGCCGGACGGTAGCATCATCGGCACCAGCAGCGTTCGGCGAATTGCCCAGTTGATTCGACGTTACCCGACGCTCAAGTTCAAGGATCACCGAGGAAACATCCAGACTCGTCTACGCAAGCTCGAGGAGGACCCCGACCTGACCGGTATCATTCTCGCCGCGGCAGGTCTCCAGCGGATGGATCTCGGAGACCACATTACACAGTTTCTAGAGTCTGACAATGGCGGTATTCTTCACGCTGTCGGTCAGGGAGCGCTGGGAGTCGAGTGCCGAGCGGATGACGAGGAGGTGATTCGGTTGCTCAAGACGATCGAGAACGAGCAAACTGCTCTTGCGTGTGAGGCCGAGCGCGCACTCATGAGGGCACTCGAGGGCGGCTGCAGTGTTCCTATTGGCGTCGAGACCAAATGGGTTGACGACAAGTTACATATGAAGGCTACAGTTGTCAACCTTCGGGGTGATCACGGCGTCGACTCTGACATAACGGAACCCGTCAAGACACACGAAGAGGCAGACAAGTTTGGGAGGAAGCTTGCGAATGCTCTGGTTGAACGGGGAGGCGGTAGTATTCTTGATGAGATCACTAGGCTCCGACAAGTCCCGGAGACAGTCAAGTAGCGGCGTAGCAGTCGAGGACTATACGGCAGATCAATACCCTTGTATTCTATTCAGCTCCAGCAAAAGTCTTGTAGGCCTCGGCATCCAATAGTTTCTCAAATTGCTTCGCACCCTCCTCATCCACCTCGACCTTTGCGATCCAGCCACCACCGGCGCTGTCGTCCTCGGGGACCTTGTTGATGGTTGAGGGCTTCTCCTCGAGGTTGTCGTTGACTTGTAGGACTCGTAGACGGACGGGAGCGTTGATGTCGCTGGCAGACTTGACGGATTCGACGGCTCCGACAGCGTCGCCTTGCTCGACCCATGTCCCGGCCTCGGGGAGTTCGACGTAGACTACATCCCCGAGCTGCTCGGCGGCGTACTCTGAAATTCCAACGAAACCGTGCTTCTTGTCGGCGGACAGATCAATCCATTCGTGGTCTTTGGTGTATTTTCGAGCAAGGCCTGTTTTGTTAGTGTCGTCATTGTAGCGATCCAGGAAACATACTCAGTTTGGTGGAGGAAAATGCTCGGACTGGTGTGCGGATGGCTGCGCGGGGCACAATACCCCTAGCCAGAGGGGCTGCAGCGCGTAGGGACCGAGAAATTGAGGCCATTGTGATGATGCGGATGGTGATATCAGAGTTCAAGCTTTGTCGGCATCATGCGGAGATGGGCCGAGTGGATCGGAAGCCGACTTAGTCAGCATCATGAAGTTGGCGGCATCACAGTCTACTCTACAGTAATTGACCTCTATGCATTGGAATGTGATTCAATTGAGACAAGACTTTGCCCTCAAACAATACATGTCAAACAAGACATAGAAACATTGGTCCAATCGGAGATATCAACGTGGGGGGTGTTGGAACACTGTTTATTTGGTGTTTAATGCCAGCTGTCTTGCATACTGCCAGATACTACCATATTCTACAATAACATGGTTGCTATTTACATTACAAATATTGACGATTCTATTCAGCTGGACATCCAATTCAAACGCAGTTATTGCGCAATCTCAGCTAGCCATACACCAAATCCCCAACCAATTACTTGACCCAAACGCGTTGACGCGCTGCGCTACGCTAAAACACCACCACCATCATCATCACAACATTTCACGCATAAGCAGGAGCCTAGCAAAGTCTATCTCGAAATTAAGACAAATCGAACTATTTCCAGACCATTTCATCTACATCCCCTGTTGTGCCGTTTAAAATCCGTTCCCTCCACTTTAGAGCCTTGTACCACGAACCGGTGCCTTGAAATTCCGTCCCGCTTCTGGCCTGAACAAGAGGCTCCCACCATCATCCTCTCCAAACGTCAGCGCAAACTCTCTGCTCCAACAAAACGCATCGTTCGGTTTCAGTTTGGAAGAAAAACAAGTGTGAACGCGACTTAATTTTCTGCCGCCCGAGGTCTCATTGTTGAACGACTTGTCTCACGGTTTCACTCTGGTGGCTTTTCGACTCCGCCACCTTTCGGCTGCCTTGTCTTGACCTCCCCGCTGCGCATCACGATATCATCACTTGTCAACTAGCTTGATGCTTTGACAAGCTGATCTTTTCTTCTGTCACTCTCTCCGACCACGTTCTCTACCGATTTCTTTCGTTTGCTCGCATCGTCCGACTCGTTTGTTTCACCGTCTCCGTTTCGACTCTGTTTCCCTCGATACCCGTCACACCTTCACGCTGGACGACTACACGATTCCCTCGGCTCCGGCCGAACCTACAACCATGGAGCACATCATGAGTTCGCCTCCCCATGAAATCCCACTGCCACCGCCAGGCCAAGACGAGACCGGAGGCATCGAAGAATCTCCCCATCCGAATGGGTTCCATCATCAGCAAAGCACATCCCTCGATCAAGGGCTAGCTCAAAGTCCACGACAAGAAGACCCGTCCACCAGATATACTCCTCCCGTCCAAACCGCACCGCCTATTTCCCGCCCAGCTAGTGGCTTGTCCAACCCCGCACACCAAGCCTACAATGACTATCGACAGAGTTCCGGTGAGCCATCATCCAATGGTCGAAACCATGTTGTCATCAAGGTCGGAATGGTTGGCGATGCGCAGATCGGAAAGACCTCGCTGATGGTCAAGTACGTCGAGGGAAGCTGGGATGAGGATTATATCCAGACGCTAGGTGTCAATTTCATGGAAAAGACAATCTCCATCCGTAATACGGAAATCACCTTTTCGATTTGGGATCTCGGTGGTCAACGAGAGTTTGTCAACATGCTGCCTCTTGTGTGCAACGACGCAGTCGCCATTCTCTTCATGTTCGATCTCACCCGCAAGAGCACATTGAATAGCATCAAGGAGTGGTATCGACAGGGGCGCGGGTTCAACAAGACGGCGATCCCAATTCTCGTCGGTACAAAGTACGACCACTTTGTCAACTTTCCTCCCCAAGATCAAGAAGAAATCTCAAATCAGGTACGAGCGTAGCGAGGAAGAGCCCTCCGCTAGGAGCCCCCGGAGGGAATCCCAACCTTACTGACTACAACAGGCGAGACGGTTTGCGAAAGCCATGAGAGCTGCATTAATTTTCTCGAGTACAAGTCACAGTATCAATGTGCAAAAGGTATGGCCTCTAGGCTCTTGGAGTATAGTCTGCTAACTGCTTAGATCTTCAAAATTGTTCTATCCAAAGCGTTCGACCTGAAATGCACGATCCCGGAAATCGAAAACGTCGGCGAGCCGCTACTTTTGTATCAGTCCGTGTAGTCGACCGAATAACGAGTAAATGTTGAAACTGACAACATGACGACAAGCGACGGGAGAGTCGCAAGCAAACCATTTTCCTTTGTTATAACATACAACACAACTGGATCGTCTCCTTTTCTTCAAACTTTGAGATTACTAGGGCAAATTACGGAAGGGGTCAGGATTCACCTCTGAGATAGATAAACATGGGGATTAGCGCAGGACCGCATTAATGTGGCCAGCTTTACCGGTCGGTGGTCACGGCGGGCTATTGAAGTATTTGAGAGATACAATCGACTGTTAATCGTATTGGTGTATGCTAGGGAGATGAATGATGTTTGGTGGGATTTGTGAATGTGCCCATGTGTTTTGTGGTTATTGTTGAGATCGATATAGCCAACGAATTCCTGCAGCTAATTCTTGTCGTAAATCGTCTATTGGTCGTTTGGGAGGTATTGGGATGTCGCGGAGGTACATGTGAGCCTGCTCGGGGTCCTTGAGGGAGGGATGGTAGTACAGACGTGGACTGGCGGGTGATTTGTGTCTTGTGTAGATTTCGATGCCGTCACGATAGATGGAGATGATTTCGACGAGCATGCCTCGCTCGAGACTTGGCTTGGTCTCTATGAGCTCGGTTGCTTCTTCGTCGGGAACACGTCTGCGACGGATGAAGTAGCACATGATGATGCCGATGGTTAGATTGAAGGAGATGATGATACTGAGAGGGAGGAGTATCGCGTACATCTCGGGGGATGGTTCCATGGTGAGCTTCTGGGGCATTCTATACGAGACTGATTCAGCGATCCATATATTAGAGTAAGAAACAAAACCTTTTCTGGAACTTGGGGGGCAGATGGCTTATATTGAAAGTCTATATGTGAGGATAACCTTATTCACTTGTATTGAGGAACAAAGGAGTGTTCTGTGATGTGACCGATGGCCTGGGTCAACGCTGTTCGGGGATGTACTTGAGCAGCAGAAAGGGAACGTCAATCCGGTCTATACCGTTTGAAGTCTTTTCAGACTATGGGTTTGGATACAGTCTAACAATGTTCGGTCACTGGTATATTTCCCCACGATACCTCTACGTCTTGAACCATGTCTTCGGAAATACCTCGATGTGGCTCTTAACTTTGAGGTTATATGAAAGGCTTTAACAATGATTCATCACAAAAGTTTACAAACAGTTTACATGACTTCACGATTGAACAAAAGGTTGGTGAAAAAATCTATTCTTCTTTTCAAAATCTAAAAGGCTGCGTTTACTACTCACCATCAGCGAGGACTGGCCTCAACACTCGAGAGTTCATGGCCCTCCTCGATATCCCGGAGCCTTCTCTTCCGACAACAAATCACAATGGACCAGACGATCATCACAATCAGAGTAATACCAGAGCAGATGCCAAGAATGATGTAGGTGGTATAGGCATCAGGGAGTTCTTCGACCTCCTTGCGGCGGACGAGGGAGAGGGGGGTCAGGAGGTTAGAGATGGCCATTGTGATGATACTTTGGTGATTCGATGAGTGATGAGAGTGAAGTAATGGGAGATGTGAGTAGTTATATACTGCTCTGAACATGCTGCTCTGACGACTGTCGTTCAGTATTCATGCAGGTGTTCCTATCGCTTTGAACAGTCGATAGTGAACAATCTGCGTGTCCTGCTTACTGTCCCTGAACCTGTGCACCCTGCTCAACATCCTTCCCCTTAAGTCTCGCCCTTCGAAGTCGAACGGTCCGGGCAATGAACCACCAGGTAGGAGGCACGATAAAGAGAAGGATGATGCCTCCGACAATACCCATGGTGAGGATCCGATCGCTCTTGGACTCGGGGGCATCGTCGCGGCGGACAGGCCAGGAGAGGATTCCTGTGAAGGAAGCTGGGAGGTAAGAGTTGGTCATGGTGTTGATGTGAGGATGTGGAGATGTGAAATGTGAAGATGTGGTGATCGGTGATGCGGTGAAGTGAGGATGCGATGGTATCGAGATGAAGGTGATGCAGGAGGCTTTTAAGTTGCATATTGTGCGTGTGAATGATTCACTTCTTTGTGTTTGAACAGTGAATGTCGTTTACAGCATCCTTTGACATCGTGAACAAACGAACACTACGATGCAGAGCTGGCAAAGCAGTGATGCTAAACAGTGACTGTTCAATTGAACAGAGATCAATAAACACTCGTAGCTATTAATACACTCTGTTCTCCTTCCATTGACTACTACACACAAACAACCTTCAACATGTACACCTTGAACTACTTTGTTCTTTTCGTGCTCATTGTTCTGGCCATGATGGTATCGGCCTGCAGAGCAATGAGGCAACAGACACGAGAGAGAAACCGAGACTACCCACGAGATGCAGAGAGACAAGACTCGAATGCATTTTACCGCAGGTAGACAGACAGACACCAAGTGGCGGCGGCGGCGGTTATATCTTTTGGACATTCACCCATCGGATGCTTCGGGTACCTGTGGATCCCCTCCATCAGCATCTCCAACCTCGACTGGCTATTTCCTTGCAGCCATTTCCAAATCAAGAGTGCTTTTCTCACGAATCTGCATCTTTCCGTTCCCCACTGACCAACGGGCCGCATCTACTTGTTCCTGAAGATCTGGTGGAGGTGCAGGTGCAGGGGTTGGTCACGTATGAATAACCTCAGTTGAGCGCAACTCAGAGTGCGAATGCGAAATGACGGCCACCGTCGAGACTTTATTCTAGACTCTAGTTTAGTCTTGGTCTACCCCCCAAATAAAATAAGACCCATGTTCTGTAATCCATCACTCCTAAGAAATGCCAACTCAAATGACACCACAACGCCATTCATGAAAAGGAAATCAGCGCGCTAGCGATAACAAAGTGAAACAAATCCCTGTGACCAAATTTGCTTGTCGCAGGGCAGAGTCGAATTGTAGACATTTACTTGTCGTCCTTGTCTCCCCATATGGGAGCGTTGAGAGGCTTGCTGACACCAAATCCAACACCGACAGCGATGCCGACGACGAGAAAGATAATCAGCCCCTTGACGATCCATCGATTGCGTTGGCTAAGCTTGGCCATGCAGGTGCAGCGGTTCTTTGCCTTTGCGGCCTTGGCTTGTTGCTTCCAGTGATCTTTTCCAGGCCAAACTTGGCAGTCGGTCTTTCTGGCGAGGGGGGTGCTCGATGTCTTGTGCATGCATGAGTCTGATGTTCGTGTTGTGACCATGGCTTCGATGTCGGTGTCGAAAGGGTTGAGTTTGTCTGTTTGGGGTGTAGATGTTGTACTGATGCGAGGGGTTTCGGTTACGGTCGCATTTGTGGCAGCTTTCTCGGGGATTGTGAGGTTTGTCTCGCCGCTTGGGCGGGAGAGTTTTTCGTAGTTTGAAGGCATGACGGCGATCTTGTCAATTCGAATTATTTGAAGTTTGAAGGACTGATGAATTGAATCGAAAGCTATCGCGGTTAGTGACGCGTGGCTATGGCTGGTGTGACAGTGACACCAACGGCTGGTACATACTTGAGTGAAACCGAGGTTGGGATCTCTGCGCAGTTGGATGTAGATGTTGAATGCGAATGAATGTAGATGCAAGAGACAGTCCTCAATCGGCAAGGCAAGGAGTGCAGGCAGGTCTTCAGAACATGGATGTTTGGATTGGATCGTCGGTTCGTTCCTGGTCCGTTGGTTATGATGGGTCAAGTAATAAAGCCAAGAAAATAGAAGAGAATCAAAGAGGATCTCCTAAAGAGACGAGATTGCGATGATAAAGAAGAAGACGGTCGAAGCAAGGGAGAGAAATGTGATGGGGCCTGAGAAGGAACCTTATTATGAGTTCTTTCTCAACACACGCAACGCAATGCAACGCCACTGATGGAACAGACTCTCTCGTCGACTGACTTCCACAAAAGACGTAGAAGAGGAGAACAGGAGCACAGCACACAGAGACATGACAGAGGGAACCCCTAACTAATCCAAAATGATCCAAGCCCCCTGCACCTTTCCAACGCTTGGGCCCGAACCGGGTGCGCTAACAACTGGCTTGCCGCCTTTGGGCCTGGTGCGAGCTCCCAGCTAAACGAGCTAGGTCCAGCGGGGGTCCCCGGCTCTAGTGGCCCCCATTAGCTAGGCCATTGCTACGCTCTAGATTGCTCCAGGACCATCACCATTCAATCGAAACATGGCATCACCAATCAAGGTTTGTTCCGTCTGCATAACATGCGGTTCACAAAGATGCACAAAAGACATCACAGAATGCACTGCCTACCTGTGGGCAAAAGCCGAGTTCCCCCGCAGATAACAACAACAGTCCAACTGCTTCATGGCTAGATCAGATCCCATGTGGCACGGCTGCATGTCTCTAGATCGATTCCCACGAATAACACCTCCATCCCTTCGAAAATGGCTCAAGTTTATCTAGTGATTTACCCGCATGCTAATAATTCTCGCCGGCGCCACCAACATGGGTTAATCGCCGGCTCTTGGCACTGACTCGCCGATTGTAGCTTCATCCAACCTGTGCCATAACTGTATTCTCTCCGCAAAGCCAAGAAAGATTCTTCTTCTTGGCAGCCGAGATGCCGTGATCTTGTGTCTGACTATCTATCGTGTCGTCGTCCATGTCACGCTCCAAACTGATGATTTGGTCGGTGGGCTGTGGCTGTCAATCATCTGGCATGACTTCACACATGACAGAACCCGTTGATCCCTCAGCCAGGAACAGGCACAAGGTTTGGCTTCAGCGGGAGGAAGCCACAGAATTCCTGTCCTGAATAAAGAAGCTTTCCACAATGTTGATGTGTTATCGCCACGATCGAATCCGATCTCCAGTCGTGCGTATTCGTTGTGTTTCAATCACGGCACAGCATCCACTTGTGTTTTGGAGTTCCGTGTATCCTTATCGCACTCGGAATCGTGTCCGTGTCTAGCAATGAACCCGCGTATAAGGATTCGGCAACTGATCGCAATTAATCTCAATCTCCGCGTATAACAGATCCGATATCACAGTCGATATCACAGGCTCACATTCATTCAGATTTACGTACCAGATGCGAATACCCAATGCAAGTTCCCCTCAATGCAAGTGAGGAGCTCTTAGTTAAAGTCCAGAACCTGGTCTCTGCATTTGCTGGGGTCCCTGCATTAGCTTCCATTGCCAAGGAATGGATAAGAAGAATTCTAGACTTGAGTTCAGTGGGTGCTCAGTGGCGCTGTCATTGTGTTGCTGCCACTGATGTACCGTTTTTCCTTGCCAAAAACGGACTGAAGTTGGAATTTTCATTGTTTCTATTGCCACTTTTGAAAGTTAGATGGTGATACAGTCGGTTCAGCCGATGACGACGGTGACACTTAGTGGCAGGACGGCAGTTGATTGACCACAGTATTCGGATTTGTGCTTGATACGAATAAGTGGTGACAATCAAGTGTCTCCTGAGTGGGAGACTCTAATCCCTATCAGGGTGTTTTAATGCCCACAAATATTGGTCTAATTTGAGATCAGTGCCACAACGAGGAAATCATGCAACTTAATGTCAATCGAGTGCATTTGTGTCTGGTCATAAGTGCCGGGATACTGACGTCTTCAATTTATTCGTCGAATGCCAGTCGTTCGGTGTGTCGATTTATAATGCAATCATCCCTTCTCGGTTGTTGACCTAGGGGAGGAAAGAAAACTCAGGACCATGACCTAAAGTGATAAAAATATTAGGTAAATTCAGTCTAAGCTTAGGGTATTCTTTACTGAGTTTATTTTGACACCTTATATCAAGGTTCGGTGTTTTCTTGCCCCTTGAGGGTGACCAAGCCCTGTAAATGTCGGCGCATAAACTCGCCTGAATGATCAGCGCGAAAATGCACAGAGAGTCGATGAAGTTTATGTTTGAAACATCAAATTGGAAGCAAGCATGCCAAACGTGGTGTCTTGACGTTCATCGTATCGGAAATTGGAGCGGGCGGAAAGTGCTGCCGTCCAAATGTGTCGCCTCGAAGGCCGTGACGTTGTATCAACGTCGTAACTACATATCCAAACAGTACTTTCGGCCTCTAAGGTGAAGTCGCTTGAGCTGAGAGAACGCGCGTATGCGATTGAAGAGCGTGGACGTCCTCATTACAATGGCCTGCGCTGAATGGTGGGAGGCTGCTCGTCGAGATGGTTCTATGCATCAAAAGTGAGTCCCGGGGTATCGTTTGGCGTTGCATGAGGCAGCCTGCACGATAAACATTCGGGGTATCCGTGAGCGTCATGAGTTCCGGCGTATTCAATACCTGGAGACACGATCTCAGTGGTACATGGAACCGCAATGATCGCGTACCAGTTGCTGCTGCTTCTGGTACGCCCGGGGGAAAGTTGAAGAGATCACACCAGGGCAGACGGAACAGTAGAGGTGAAGGTTCAGACACAAGCGATCAGCTCGACCTTGGCTTACTGGCATCATATCTCGGCACTCACAGCGTTCTTCAGTTACGTCAGTTTGGTGACTTGCAGCAGCATTCAGAACGTTGTAGAGTGTGGAGGACATCATCGTTTGACCCGAACAGCGTGGACTTGGCGGAGCTTCATCTCTGAATGCCGGAGTTGACAAAACCCAATGCGCAGATGGGTTGACTGAGCTTGGAATCGGGGCGTGAAGATTCAACTTAGCCTTGCTTGACGCCAGCGTAACTACATACGCAGCCAGTCCCAAACTGTTTGCAGTTGCCGTGCTTGGGATTGATAGACAGTCGAACGCTCCAGAGATAAAAGACAATTCACCTTGCCTGACCTGGCCAGTTGGTAGCGTCTCGGGGTCGTCAAAATCGATGGGCATTGAGTCCTGCTGAGTGTGTACAATGCAGCCGCCTATCTTGTGTCTAAGCCGTTGCGCTTGGAGTGCAGGACAGCCTTGGTGCATTCGTTGGCAATCGTCGAGCCGACGGGATTTCCTGCAGGCAGTAGAAATCGGAGACGATATGCCATCTTCGTCTGGCACTATATCATCAACCTTGCGTTCAGGTTCTCGCAGACTGCTCGACCTAAACACCTTTAGATTCAGTGGCCTGTATCTTTATATACAACCCGATTCGCTGCCGAGACGGATGATGAGGCCATAGTGGCCAAGGACTCGCTAGTGTTAAGAGCAGAGGAAGATTTCAAGGCTTGTATCTCGAGCCAGAGGCAGAGTGTTGAGCTTGATTGCCGCCAGGTTCGTTTCGGGCAAGTCATTAGGCTTCCCATCACACGTTTAGCCGCTGGACTTGCAAATGTTTTGGAACATCCAGTCGAGTGTCAAGAGTCGGCGGGGAAGTGGTTGGATGGGTTTCATGTCGATTGACAACTTCTTTGGTTGTAACGGACGCCGCTTCGAGTCGTTCCGAGTATTGTTGGCCGCAGTCCAACCATAAATAGGGCAGACCGGAAGCTTGGGTCTCATATTTCTGAGATGAACTGAAGTGACGGCTTAAGCAAGTTAGCTAGCGGATGTAGAGATACATAAGCACGGCGCAAGTTCAACCTCTTGTAATTTACAAAGATGTAAACGCTCCAGATCAATGTGTTCTGGATGGACAATTGCTTCAAACAGCCATCGCTAAAGAGACCATTGGGACATGGACTTGTCACGAAATCCGATATGGGTTCAAAAGCAACGTAACGACGTGCATAGAAAATGGTCGTCGGCTGCCGCTACATGGGCACTCGTAGCTAATCCCAGCCACCATATGTTTTGTCGATTGACCGTCAGTCTCTCCTTCAGAATAGGTTTCCGTGTATCTGGCTAAACGGTTGAGGTTCAATGGCAAAGGTCGGGATTTGGGAAGGCGATGGTTGAAGGGAACCTCTTCCTATCAGGGTCAAAGTCTAGACATCTCAGCACTCTTCAGATTTTGTATCTGGGGAGCTCGGGGAGACAGTATATGATATCATGGGAGTGGTAAATAGCAGAACGGGGCAGATCATTCCGTCTGGGAATCGCTGAAGGGTCCTGTAATGGACTCGTTGCCGTCGTGGCAGCTTATGTAACTCGGGGTTACTGGCATCGTCAGGGTTGCAGATCTGAGGCAGCAAACGTATGCCATTTTAGACTTCTTTTCGGTGACCAGGACAGGCATCTAAGTGGGTGGGAGTGTCGACGGTATCTGATGTCCGGTATGAAACTGTAACCCAAGGCGGCGAGGTCGAGGAGCTGTTTCTTGACCGTCACTCTGACACCTGTGTATATCATCAGCACTCTGCAAACTTTCCAAATTTGTGTGGACTGTACTCACTGTCTGCCACTCGAACACTCTAGGAAGTAAGTGTCGATCGCTATGGAAGCATTTGAGTTCCCTCTAGTGTCTTGAGAAGGGCTGGAGCTGATGAGGGAAAGGTTCCGCAACATAGCATGCACTGAGTGTTAGTGGTCGAATTAAAGTGACTTAGA